CCCCCCCCCCCCCCCCCATCGGCATGGGGGCGAGGGGGAAAGCTCCTTGTCTTATATTTGCAGATGAAGAAACCTCATTAAATATATTACTTGTCGTTAAACTGCTGCCAAAAGTAGTATGTGCTCAGTAATGGAAACCAGCTATGAAGCCGCTTAAATGTTGCCAACACTGAGGATGGTTATGAATCTCATGGCCCATGTTGGGCAAACATACTGATGGGAACCTACTTTTCCTTTAAAAATAAATAAATAAATAAATTGTGTCCCAAGTCAAATCAGTCAAATCAATTCCAAATCTGTGTGAACCATTCAAGAACCATATGTGGCCCTGCTACCAGCAACCATCTTCCACTACCGCCTGGGGCTTCAGATACTTCCAAATCCTTTGAAAGTATCCAAATAATCCAAATTCTTTGGCAGGCATCCTACATGCAGGCCCAGAGGCTTGGGGTTCAGATACCCCTGAGTTTTGCTTGCCCTCTGCTATATGGCCACAGGAGCAAGGTAGGTAGGAGTCTCCCATTTCCATGAAGGTCGGTATGTGGCTGAGATCTTCCCACTGGAAGTTAAAGTGGGAGGCTAACTATGCATTACTTCAGTCAGGGTACTACCCCCTGCCATGTTCATGGTTTTCCCCTGCCAGTAGGAAACCACTTTGGTGGTCATTGCATTTCCCCTGGCAGTAAGTAAACCTACTACTAGGTTGGTGCAGCCTATCTGAACAAGATGTTTGGCGGTGCCTATTGCCTTCAGTCCCTCTCAGTCTTGACTCTTCTTGAAGTCGCAGTGAACCAGTCTACTGAATACGTTTTGACTACCTCTTCACTCCCACAGATGACTTGCACCTTTCTTTCCCATTTTCAATCATTCCTGTTTCTTTACCACCCTTAAATGTCTGGCAAACATCACCAAATGGGGCTCCAAACAGTTCATCCAGAATCCTTCTTTCAACCCCTCTCTCAGCCTGTTGCATATGATTAGTGTGGTCCTGTCTTCCCTGAGGTGGAGCTGGATCAGTTTTCTCTGCACCTCATCTGCATATACATTTTTGGAGGATCCCAGGACTCATGACAAGAACACCCAGTTCCAGTCATGAGTGGGGGGCTAATTGGCATACGGATCCTTTGCGGAGGGTATCTGGCATACACACACATACTGAGCAGTGCTGAGCTATGGAGTCACCATGGCTTGAAATGCTGTTGACTCTGCTGGGGCCCAGCCCAATGAACTATATGGTAAATTGTGAGTCTTTTGGCTTTGGACTTGTATCAGGCATGTTTTTTCAAATTTGCCTCTTTTTCATATTAGAGTATGCTGTGACAGCAAAATCGCACAGTGTGAACTTGCTTACTTCTTACATGTTACATTTGGAAATACTGGTTCTTTGTTAATTGATTTTGTGGCATTTTTCTGAAGTATGCATTTTACACTGTACCCATTTATTGAACTCTTAAAATTCCTTTAGCTGTCTGAAACTAATACACTCCCTCTTTCTTTTCAAAGGTCCCTGTGTGTATGATTATATCACTAGGACCATGGCAACATAACTTTAACAGGAAATTTTTCAGATCATTGAAGAAACCATGCTATAAAATGTCAGTTTACTAATTTGAAAGGAGATGAAAAGCCAGAAATTTCTCTAACAGATTAGAGGTGAGGGAGGGAAAGTAAAACATAAAACCCTTTTTCAAGGAATCTGAAAAAATGAGAGGGATAAAATGACTACTGTCCAGGTGTTTAAGTGTGTGTTTAATGAGCGGTGGTGTCTCTCAGTAGGCTTTTTGCCAATATGTTAAACCCTGAATTTGAATTTGGTAACTAAGGCAAGGGGTAATACTGGCTGATTTGATGCTTTTTTTCCTCCTAGCTGAAAATAACTGACTGATTAAGTTTCAAATATGAATAATGGAAACATAGTTTTAAT